TTACCTGAAGAAAGGATTTTTTTTAATTGTTTTTAGTTTTCATATTTCCAGATCTGAAACAGAGCTCCCTGCCCTGACTGTCCTGGACTCCTTAAATTCCTTTTAAATTTCCAGAGTTCCTTGTCTGTTCCAAGGAAGCTGAGGGAGGCCAAATTGCACACTGCCACTAACGAGAAGCTAGAACATTCAGGCATTACCCACAGCAGCAGATCTATCATAGAAGCGTAGAATGCTTTGGGTTGGAAGGTACCTTTAAGATCATCTAGCTCCAACCCCCTTCTATAGGCAGGGACGCCTCCCTCTAGACCAGGTTGCTCACAGCCCCATCCAGCCTGGCCTTGAATGTTTCCAGGGAGGGGACATCCACAACCTCACTGGGCAACCTGTTCAAGTGTCTCACCACTCTCACAGTAAACGATTTATTTCTAATATCTAGTCTAAATCTCCTCTCTTCCAGTTTAAAGACATTTTCTTGTTCTGTCACTATCTGGAGGTAGAGCCTTGACAATCACTCCCCTCCCAGAACTGGTGTACTCTAGGGTTTGGGGAAGCCCTGGGATTAGCAATTCTGTGTGAATGATGTCCTGGCTTGCAGACAGCAAGACTCAATGCTCTTCCAGAAAAGAAATAGTAAAATACTATAGTAAAATAACAGCTTCTGCATTTTGAGAAGTTAAATGAAGTACTCCTTTTCTTTACAGATTCACGTTTGCAGTGAAATGCTGTTGCTTCAAACGCAATTCTGTATGTGTTCCATAAAGTATGTATGTGATGGGACAACTTTGACTACTAGATATCCAGGGTGAATTTTGGCAGAGGGAATCTCAAAGCTCAAAGAGAGACACAAAAGCTTCTGCTAATAGCCCAAAAACACATACAGCATGTCAGGCTACATGGAAAGCATTCAGCGTCCAAGGGATCGATGTGGGAAATCTTGACAAGCTACCTTGCAGTGGCAGCTGACAGAGGATAACTTTACTAAAACATGATAGACCTAATGATGCATTTTCAAGCATCAAACACAATAAATAGACATTTCTGTCTACCTAAGGCAGTCTGTGAGAAAGTACCACTTTGCAATCTATCCTTTGACAATTCAATAACATCTTCTGCTCACGTGTTCTGTTCATTTCACACACCTGCTTGTTCTGAAGCAGCAAATACAGACTTGGTAGAGGCTTTCTACTTGGTACAGAATGTCTTGAAATGAAAACTTAGCTACCAAGTCATAAAATATTGAAGCATAGGTTTTAGGAATGTAAATGTTAAGAACAATACAGCATACCCCACAGTAGTTGGATGTAAAGATGAGAATGCTTTACATAAATGACAGTGGTCACCTCCAGGAGCTAGTAAGAAAACATATTTCATGGCTTCTCAGCAACACAGATGGGCAGTAGCACTGCAAACAAGGAATGAATGCACATTTCTTGTGGTACTAGTTCACTCTAACTTCCACTTTGGTGAAAGCAGAAAGGACTGAGAAAGAGAAAAAAATACCGTCACAATGAATGTGTTGCTGACACTTCAATCTTTCCCAAATTAAAAAGGGTTTTCTCTGGGAAGAAGAGATTTATTTCCTCCACCACAACACAAACTGTTTTTCACTGTTTGTTCATCTAGTTTGATCCCCACAGTAACAAAACACAGTTTTTTCCTGGAGCAAATCCTAACTCAATTATCCCCGATGCTCCCTTCCAACTCAGGATAGATAATCTGTGCTTGAAAGACACTCTGTCTCATGCACATACATATAAAACAAATACGTATCATAAAAAGCCAAGCATTATTTCAAAATTTCCAGTGATGGAAAAATAGCAATCCTTGGAAATGTATTCCATAGATCAATCACTACTCTTAAGAATGTGCATTGTTTCTGGAAAGCAGATGATGTATAGCTGCCCTTTCCAGATATTGATTTTTCATACTCCTTTTCATTAATTTCATTGACTCTGTATCTAGAAAAGCAGTTTTCCATGGGACTATACAATGATCAAGTCTGACCAATCTCTAGAATTACTTCAGGAATCTCCATTATCAGAACAATTCTCCTATTTTGTCACCAACTTCGATCAGCAAAAGAAGTTGTGTTCTTACTGTCAGTATGGACTGGCACCCATTTTAGAAGTCTACTTAAATGCTGTTACAACTCCAGAGCAGCAGTACTTTCACATGCGTGTATCTGTTCACTATAGAACACTGCTTCCAATTTTTTTTTTTTTTAGTATAGAATTTCTGAGGAAAGAAATATAAAATAGTTCTTGCTGTAAAAAAAGAAAAGAAAAAAATTATATTAACACTTGAATCATTCACTTCTTCTCCAATAAGGATTCTCACAAAAACAAATAACAGTCAGTCATTAAAGACATTGTAACAGTTTGGAAGACTTTGTAAATCAAAGGATAAAATTCATCAAAAATTATATATAGACTTTGAATGTTTTAAACGCTGGGGATCCAAAAACATTGAAAAGATATTGAGTATCATTTCAAATCTGCTAAAAACAAAGGTTTCTACACGATAAATATTCCACAATCATAAACAAAGCTTTTAAAATGTAGTGTCATACACATACGATGAAGTCTAAATCTTATGTGAACAGTTTACTCTCTGAATTTTCAAAAGTGGATTCAAAATCTCTTATGCCTTCCTCTAAGCATTGAAACTGCCCTTTGAAGTTACACCCAGCTCTGTGAGATGATCATTGCGTGCTGCAAACTGTAGTGCTTCATGTGGGCAGGGGATAGGCAACTTCAAAGGACCCACTTAATTGCAAAACAGTATTCACTTGTATGCTGTTCTGGGAAACAGAAAAACGGAGTCTCTTTAACACTACGTACAGAGAAGACTGATAGAGCTTGGTAACCTTCACAGATTAAGTGTATGTGAAAGTCGGTAACAAAAAATATATATATATTTTTAATGTGATACAACACAAAATTTTGAACTGTGAAACAAACATATTTCCAATGGATTTCCTTCTGGAAAATCTATGAGCAGATTTCTATGCCACTGAAGTAGCAACTAAGAATGGAATAGCACCACATGATACTTCTGGGGAGCTATGGATTTTCTACTTCATTTTTCTCCCTTCATCTTTTGTTTGTTAGTGTTTATAACAAAATCCATTACTAAGGCAAGGAAAATGCTACTGCTTAATCCAGCAAACATAATGTCAGAATCATTATGTTTCTGAATTGTTCCCCAAATATTCTCAGGACAGGAATGAAAGAAATTGGTTCTTTCTCAAACAGAAGCATGATGCACACAATGGTTAAAAAACAACCAGACACGGGAAGAGCACATTTATTCTGCAGATGTAAATTAGATTTTTATTCTGTGTTACTTTTGTTGACACTGTTTAAAGTTAATTTCAAGATTTAAGAACAATTCTTGGCCCTAAGACAACAATACAAATGTCCTTAATTCAATTCTGCTGTATGAGGTGTTCAAGGCCAGGTTGGATGGGGTCCCGGGCAGCCTGGTCTAGTATTAAATGTGGAGGTTGGTGGCCCTGCCTGTGGAAGGGAGTTGGAACTTAATGATCCTTGGCCATTCTGTGATTCTGTACGTTCCCATCAATCTTCTCCTTGTAAACTAGCTATCCAACAAACAGAAACAATTGAAATGTTTTCAATATGAATAAGAAAACGTAAGACTTAATTATATTCTTACTCATTCCTTTGTAAATTGTTATTACCACACCTTATATTAAAAGGTTCTGCTAAACAGCAAGAGTTTTTTTTTTTTCTTCTGCTTGGTTCAAAGCAGTTTATCCTATGACAAGCCTCCGTGGGAGCTTTATTTTGACTAAGAGTTGAAGCAACCTCTTGGTCTTGATGGCTCTACCAAATACCTGCGTCAGGTATGATATATAATGAAGTGAATGTTTTAAGTTGAGGGAGGGAAGATTTAGGTTGGATGTCAGGGGGAAGTTCTTTACTATGAGTGGTGAGGTGCTGGAACAGGCTGCCCAGAGAGGTTGTGGATGCTCCGTCCCTGGAGGTGTTCAAGGCCAGGCTGGATGGGGCCCTGGGCAGCCTGGTCTGGTATTAAGTGCGGAGGTTGGTGACCCTGCATGTGGCAGGGGGGTTGGAGATTCATGATCCTCAAGGTCCCTTCCAACCCTGGCCATTCTGTGATTCTGTGAATAGAGCACACCTGATATTAACTTCCAGTTGGTAGATACATTGGAAGAAATCTCCTGATGGTCTTTTTTTCACATCCTTTAAGGAAATGTCTTTTGCAAAAAGCACATCTGCTTTAGGATGTCACACACCTTATAACCTCACATTATGAACTCAGCATTTCCAGTTAAAAACTGTGTAGCAGATATTAAGTTAGAAAAAGCCTGTTTGTATTTCCCCATAGAAATGTTATCGCTGCTGTGACACATTAAAGAAGCCACAGGGCCAACAGCTGACAGCAGCACTCAGCAGAACAATCCTATCTGTAGTAAGAACTCTAAATTCCAGATGCAATTGTTCTCATTTCAGCACAAAGCAGGTGATCCCTACTACACGTTTTCTAAACCGAGTGCCCACATACCAGACACCTAACAACCAAAGCTCTAATTGCCACATCTTCATATATACTTCTGAGGTGACTATGCAACCCTCAAACATAATTAAACCACCAGAAGCCGAGTCCCATGACGGAATCAGCCTCAGACCGGTTCCTGCGTGTCTCCTAATCACAGAGGAGCGCAGCCATTTGACAGCATCCCTACACTCATCATCTCCCATCCAAGCCGCTGCGGACAAAGCGCAGCCGCCACCCCTCACAGCCTTCCCGCCACGCCACGCGCATGCGCCCCGCCCACCTCGGGCCCCGCCGTGCGCATGCGCCCCGTCACGGCGCGCCTGGCTCTTTGGCTTCCCTTCAGCGCTCACTGCTCCCGCGCTGCGCGGCTGCACATGCGCAGTGACTGCCGGTCTCTCTCCCCTTCCCCCGAAGCTTCGTGAAGCTTCCGGAAGGCTGCGGCCGACTCCTTCCGCCGCGCCGCCCCCCCCCCACCCTCCGGCTTCCGGTTGCCGCATCCCGTTTCGCCGCGGTGCCGCTGCTCTCCTCGGCTCCCCGGAACGCCGCCATGTCTTTGCTGTGCTACAACCGGGGCTGCGGCCAGCGCTTCGACCCCGAGACCAACACGGAGGGTGAGGACGGGGCGGGGGGTCCGTCACGGCGCGGGGACCTGAAGGAGCCGGGGTGCCGGCAGCGGGCTGTGACGGGGCAGGACCCGGCCGCAGGTTGACTGGACGGCGAAGGGCGGCCGAGCTGCGGCTGAGCCCACAGCGCTGAGCCCACAGCCCGGCTGCCCGCCTGGGTGCTGCCAGCGAGTGCCTGTCCTGCCGGCTTGGGTGGGAAGGGACCTTAAAGCCCATCCGTTCCAGTGTCCTGGTGTGGGCTGGCTGCCTCCCATCATATCGGGCTGCCCCCTGTCCGACCGGCTGCAGTTCTCAGCAAGCTTTGCGCTCGTCTGATTTGCGAGGATTAATTTCTAGGATGGGCCTTTTGCGTTAGCGTAATTTCTAGCGCGATGCACGAGTTTAGAAGTCGGCTGATGCGATCTGACACGTGTGTGCTCCGTGACTAAGAAATCACTGCGTAAAATGTTATTGTTCTGAGATAAATATCTCTAAAGAGAGGGGCAGCGCCTTGTGTAAGACTTGCTGATGTTAGGAACAGCAAAAGTGGACACACAGTTTTGGAATGCTGCCATTCAGAAATCCTATCCCACCCCAGCTCAGCTCAAAAGGCAAAGTAGATAGGGTTTAGCTAGGTTTTCCTATATCAGAAACTGTCATTAGGTCTTTATGACCTGTTCTCATTGTTGTAACAACAGTTTTTCACTGTGTTTCCTGATGTGATATAAGTTGGAGTGGACCAGACCTGATGGACGTGGCCCTATGCTAACTCTGTGATGCTTTGATTGTGAGAGACAGCTTCCTACAATGAAGTTTATTCAGTTCCTGTGTCCTAGCCTAAGCAGTTCTGATGATAAATGTGGTTTTTCAAGAGTACTTTAGAAGACCAGGTCTAACATGTTTTGCTGAAGGAGAGTAATTAGAGTTTTCAGCATCACTAAACTTCACTAAGATCAATAGGGCGATGGCTACTTAGGCATCTAAGACCCTGTCTAGCAGTATTTATCTGCCAGCTTTAAGTGTTTTAGAGCTGGGGAGATCATTTAAGTCTTAAATACTGTAGGGATTAAGTGAAACACATATTAAACACCAAAATATGTATTCTTGTGATCTTTGATAAGCTTTATATTGATATAATCTATCACTTAAGCTTAGGATCCATAGTTATGAGAACGTTTTTATATATTTTTTTTTTCCCAACAAATATAGAAGATGAGGCCCACACGCCTCAAAGCTGTTATGGATGTATCACAATTTCAGCCTACAGAATAGATATCCCACAGCAATGATTGATGTAAGAGGCCTTTAATATTCTCTTTAGAATCAGAGAGCTGATGTAATGTGCATGTATTTTCTGTAGAAGCTGCCATTGTTTCAAAAAAAATGATCAGGTGGCAACTGGCTGACACAAAGGACGCAGTGCCTCTTAAGGAGAGGCAGAAAAAACAGCCTGAGGGAAAGCATTAAAGGTGTGACTACACAGGTATGACTGAATACAGTTATGAAATCATTTGTGGCATGCCTAGCAAGGTACAAATTTAACATGCATTTCAGATACAGTAACAACTAGCTACATCCATACACTAAGAGAGCGGCGTTGGATGTAGAACTTAGCTTCCAAATGGGGCAGTAGAGTTTTAGTTTATTTCTCTAGGAATTAATGACCATCTGGACATTTCTAATCCATTTCAATACCAGGTCCAATTTTGCCACAAATACAATAGTGTAATGTAATACTTCTGTATAGGTTTGAAATCAGTCCTGCTTATCTATAGTTGGAAAGGTGGTGCTCACAAAGAGGTTGAAGGTGTACACATATGTTTGTCTCAGTTTCCTCACTTCACTGCAACGCTTTGTTTTAGGCCACAATTAGAATCTTTGTTAATGCAATTTTATTTGGTTTGTTGCCAGAACAGAAGGACTTAGTTCATTTGTCAAGGGTGTTGGTGTTGCACCTACAGGATCAACATGATCATAGAGCTGGTGAAAACTTTACATATTCCTGAGGTGGGGTGAGGTAGAGTTGAAAGCAGTGATAGCCTCGATTTTTGGAATTTATCTGACCTTTCAACTTTGTTTAACTTTGGTTTCCACTATTCAAACTCTGTTACTTTAAAGTGCACCCTCTGATCCATTCTGTTTCTCAGCCTGAATCTTTCTTTGTGAGCTGTTCATAAGCTCTTCACATAGAGTATTTTTCATGTTATCACACAGAATCACTGAGGATCACTACATTTTATTCCAACACTGAGAAATTAAGTGGAACCAGCACCCTCACTTTACACCCTATGCTGTAAAGCATAACTTGTGAAGCATTGGAGTGCTTCCACAGGGCAGCAGATCAGTTTGTAAGTTATATGTAGACATACCTCTCTTTGCAATCAAGAATTCAGCAGGATTCCATCGTAATAACCTTTAAGTTTGGACCACCTTTACTGTTTTCTACTTTTGCCATATAACAAGAAGTATAAGAATGGGTAAGCAGGGATGTAGCAGTAAGGTCATAGCAGACAACAGTGTGTGCACTGGTAGACTGGAATTGATTTGGGTATCAGATTTTCATTTAAAGAAAAATGACAGTTTGTGGTACTTGCATCTACAGAAATGATTTGAGAAATAGTGATTGGTTTGAAAAGCATTGTTTGGGTATTTTTTGTTTTGTTTTTAAGGAGAGATATTAACAGCAGTGGAGAGGTGAGTTGAGTTGAAAAAATGTTGAATAGCACCCAAAGGCTGGAAGCTGAACTCATACAAAGATCATACTTTCACCTGTTCCAGTGACTGCTAATGTGTGCCCTGATCCCTTCTTCTCCCTGCTAATCTGATATAGGATACTTTTTATGAATGTAAACTTTCAGTTAGACAAGTGTTGCTGGTCTCAGTACGAATGGTAACGTGGTACGTGGTACGTGGGATGTTCTTCTGTTCTCTGATGCACAGAATGGTCCGACTTAAAGTGCCATTGCCTCTTCTTAAAGCACTGTAGAGCTGCTTGCCTCTGAACTTCTGTTGTTGTGCGCACATGGCAATCATGAGATAGCAGCAGAGAGTGGGTTGTTGTTTCTCCATAATGTACTGCCTGCCAAGGGGGCTTGAGAAAGCAAGGAGAAAAGACTGGGCTTGGCCAGGTGGACAAAGAGATGCTTGTCTGATATGTGAGGGATAGCTGCCCCTGAGTGGTTTCTAGAATCGTCTCTAAGTCTTGAGAAACATAGCACTAATTAATAGCATCTCTGTCTTTTCAGCTCATGTACTTTTCAGGGGTCAGAAATTGTAATTTACATCTTTTCATTCAGAAATAATCTGAGATGCAGATAGCTTAGTTCTGCTACCATGATGCTTGTGATGGCATGCTTTCATAAATTTGGAAAAGAGCACCCTTTATTTTTTAAGTAAAAGAAAACTAAACAGTGAAGCCCTGAGCTCTTTGTACAAAATAAATGTATTTTCTTTTATTCTTAGAAGCTTTATTAGCATTATCTTTTCATCCTGAAGCTGAAAGTATTGGTGGTAATTTAAGGATATGTAAGTTTTGCTGAAGGAGTAATGTCCTAAAACATTAGGACATTAGTCTTAAAACGTGTTCCTTTTGACTGAGGTAAGCAATACCATCTTAAGGCAATGTGTCTGTCTGAAAACATTAGTGCTTGAGACTTAAGCACTGAGTATATTATAAAAGAAGATACTAAGCAAGTGAAAAAAGTTCTTCAAAATCCATGTATTTATATATACATATATGAAACATAGTGATTTGTTGATAGTCCACTTAAAATATGTAAGCAGAGTATTAGTAAAGTTGTGTGTTGCTCATCTTATTATTATTTGAAATGTGCTAGTGCACAAACTTGTGTTTTATGGAGGCTTATAAAAAAAAGTGTTACTGTTTGTGTCATTTTTAATTTTAGCTGTTTCTACAAAAATTAGAAATAAAAAACCAAATTGCTTTAAAGGCTAGAAGGTAGCTGGTATTTCACATATTGTTTTTGATGTCACTATTCAGACAGTATATGTCAGAAATGGTACATAATGAAGGCAATTATATTATGCTTGAAAACTACATATATTAAGTAAAAAGGAACAGTTGCTACATAAAAACTGTAATGTTGATAAATATCTATGAATATCCACAGTTCAGTTAATGGAAGAGGTATTTTAGCATCGTGTCTGTGCAGAACCTAGTAGCAATTGATAGTATTGACAGAACTAAATTCTGAATGTTGAAGATTGGCCTTTGACTTCATGACCTCAAACAACCTAGGAGACCACAAGCAGTGATGTAAGAACAAGATACTTGATTCAGTGAACTCATAGTGCTTGTATGTTTGTGATCAAACAGATAAGAATTCTTGGTATGCCTGATATTAATAATGGCCATTTTCTCCTAGATTCATGCACGTATCATCCAGGTGTGCCAGTCTTTCATGATGCTCTCAAAGTGAGTATGCAAATGCCTTTTTAAGTCTCACCTTTTTTCCATATATGTAAAATAGTGCACTTCTTTTCCTCTTTCTCTTTTTCAAAGACTGTCAGTCTCTCTGTCTGGTCCATCATTTTTGAGCAACTCCATGAAATTCCACAAAGCTGCAGAAGAAGCTTAAAACTGTATCCATATGGTTTAAATGTCATACAAGTCCGCATGCCTTGTGTTCCTATTATTTGACTCTTAACAGTTTAATTAGGTCCTATGAATAGATCTCTGGAGGTATTGAGAGGTATCTTACTCTGTTGGTTAATTTGCTCGGAATTTAGACCAGCTGCATGCACTCTTATATGACTAGAGCACTAACATGAGTGTGACATTTGTCTACTGTAGAAAATAATTGCATTATGTTAACCTGATAACCTGATACGTTGGTTAAGTTGGGACTGCTCACCCGTGCCTCTGGTGTAACAGTGTTCTGAGGATAAATCTTCAGTAATGAATTAAATATATCTGTGATGGCTGTGTGTGCTTTGGCCAACTGCATAGCCCACATTCATTCTGTTAAACTGTTTTCCTGCTTCAGGATCTACTCGATATATACAGAATGCCTGTTGGGAATTATTTGACAGAGAACTGCATAGGTAGGCCAAAACAGTATTGAAAATACTTTTTAACCATTCAGCAGGTCAGGAATCTAGTGTCTAGGACCCATCACTGTTCAAAACACTAATACAGATGAAGCATAAGTGGCCTTTCTTAGGATTTGGAACTGTTATTTAACTGTGGGGCAGGCAGTTTTTCATGGTATTTAGAAACTGCTTCTGCTGGCAGTATGTCTCATCAATGTCCAGCCATGTGGTGGTTTGGAGTACATGGAGGTACTTGTGTGCTGGGTAGCACGTTTTCTGTGAGCTGATGGTGATTTTGCTGTGCAGTACAGTATAGTTATAGAAAATAAACTGCCATAGTCTAAATAGGGTTGTAACTGTACTCATAGTACGGTGCTTAAGACTTTCACATAATTACAAGGACAAAAATTATAAAGACACTTCAAAAGGCTGTGTTTGCTTTCTCTTAAATGAGCATGGTTCAGCTTCTTCCCTCTCACCCTTGCTTTCTTAACTCTAGGCCTAATTAAATTTATCATAATTTTCTAGGTTTTCTTCCTGACGTGGATTGTAGGTAATCCAAGTGAGCAGGGGTTAACCTTTTACCTCTTGGACTGTGTAAATAGTGAATATTTCAAGAATATTTTCAAACCATCTACTTGGACAGTGAGCCAGTGCCTCACTGCTTCAGCTCTCAGTGTGGTGGGAAAGTATATCTGCAGTGCAGATATCCAGAACTGTGGGGGGAAATGAGTACTTGCGAGATCTGACTAGAAAGAAAGTCTATTCATTTTATAAAGCTGGCCCGTATCTTTTGCCACAGGTGAACGTAGTCTCAAGTTTAAAACTTCTCAAATGTTAACTTAAGGGTTGAAGTAACGTTTCTGCTTTCTCTCATATGGAGTTGACACCTAACTTGTCATGGAAATGTTCTGTGAATTCTCTGATTAAGGCAACGTGAGTGAAGTAGAAATGGCAGATGGAACAGCTGTCCTTGGCTTCTAAAAATGCAGGGGATTGAAAATATTGTCCCATCTTGTAAAAGAATAGAACTGGTCTTTCAGAAGCTGCAGCTAAATAGGGTAATCACACTTGTTCTATTTTTGTTCCAAACTGTTTATAGGGTTGGTCATGCTGTAAGAGAAGAACAACAGACTTCTCTGACTTCTTAAGCATCGTGGTATGTATTCATGTTTATTTACAGTTATTACACTTGTCAAATCACAGTGATAAATATCAAGTGGTACATCTGCTTACATATTTAAAGTTTGCTCACTTGTTTTACAGCTATCTTAAATCTTGGATACACTGCTTTTCTTGCTCTAAAGTTGTAGCTGCATCTTATGTTTCAAGCTTTAATAGACGTACTTTGTTTTATCAAAACTTATTTACACTTGGTAGGAATGAAGGTTTTTTTTCCTTAACCGTGAAAAATATGTATTTTTTCTTTAAAGTGCATCCAAATGAAGGTATTTTCTGTCATAGTTGTAGGATTACCTTTATGGCCAATGTTATACGTGGGCTGAAATGGAAGATGAATCTGAAGATATACAAAAACTTGCTGCAGTTTTTGATAAGTGTGCACAAAAAGTAAACTGCATTTATGTATAAGCATAAAAACATATGCTTTTCCTGACAGGGCTGTACGAAGGGTCTCCATAATAGTGAGAAACCTCCTGAGCCTGTTAAACCAGATGTCAAAAGTACCACTGAGCGAAAAGAGCTAGCTGAACTGAAACCCAAATTTCAGGAACACATCATTCAAGCACCGAAACCACTTGAAACAATTAAAAGACCAAGGTATTGTATACAAAACCCCTTTTCTTTCCCAAATTTGTGGTTGATTTATCAAATTAAAGCTTGTTTGATTATTAAGTGTTACTCATTTCATACAGTGTAAAAATTCCCAAAGAATTTGGTTTTGGTAGCAGTGATTATGTTGTCTCTAACTTCAAAGTGAGCTAAAAGAATTCTGTTTAAGACAAGGTAGCACTGGATTGCTGAGCATTTAGCTTCATGGCAAACCAAAATTGCAGTGTAAATCTCTGTAGCTTAGAAAGTGTTTTGTAGTAGTTTTTATGGTTTCATGTATTCTTAACACACATTCAGGTGTTTGTATGTAGATTCCTTAGTCTCTCTGATTTGTTTTTATTGTACAGCATTTAGGATTTCTTGTTGAAAGGCATTTGAAATTTCTAATCTGTAAGAATGGACACCTAGGAATCTGTTTTATTACTTTAAGGGAGATTAGAAAGGAAGGGCCTCATCACAAGATTACAAGTTACTGTCATCTTTTATAAGTTATTTTCCATGAAGTTGACATGAATACATGGATCTTTTTTTTAGCCCAGATGAGCCAATGACAAATTTGCAGCTGAAAGTTTCAGCTTCCTTGAAGCAAGCACTAGATAAACTGAAACTCTCATCAGAAAACGAAGAGAAAACAGGTAAGAATATAAGGAAGTTAAGTAGGTATGTGATACTTACTGTCAGACAAATAAATTAGTTTTTTTGTTGTTGTTTCTTTCTAAGGCAGTTATTCGACAGGATTATTTGTGTTCTCAATAATCTGGGAAATAACTTTCCTTCTGTAGAATTATAATCCAAGTTAAATGTGAACAGTGTGGGAATTTGGGTAGTAGGAGCAATACATTCTCACTGCAATTATTGGAGCTGCTTACTCATAACGGGTAACATTCCCCTGAAAACTGGTTGGTTCTCCCTTGTCTGCTTTTCCTCTTTTTATCTCACTGATCACTTCAAATTTAATTCCTTTAGAGACAGTAGAATTGCTGAATTCAATCTGTGTGCATTTATGGCAATTTTATACCCTTTTATGTTTTAGCAAAAACTGTCATTTAGCTTTTCTTTGTACTTGGATTCAGGTTCTTTGCTTGTGTCTATTTATAGGCAGCAATTGGAACCTTTTATAGTCTTAGTCTTTATAAACCAAATATAACGAGTGATTAGCATCTTCTGATTGTTTCTCTTTGTGTATGATTGCAGCAATCCTTTTTATTCTTATTTTTTTTCTTCCACTTAAAACAGTGTAAACGTATAGAAGCTAAAATCTGAGGCAGAAATAATGAAGTTAGTGGAATATTAGCATAATTTCTGTTTCTTTGTACCCTTCTGGAAGACTGGAAGACTTCAGTAATATGCTGAAGTTGCTTGTTTCTTTTTTTTTTTTTTTTGTAATCTACTCCTTAGTTCCTTTAAATTCTCAATAGCAGCGAAATGTTTTTTACATTGTAAACTTCAGCTGCTTTTTTCTGCAATACGATTTTGTTTACAGAGGAGGACAGTGATGAAATCAAGATAGGGACACCGTGTAAAAATGCAGGCTGTTCAAAAGTAAGTCATTCAGTTCCACCTTTATGCCCTCTTCCTAAACCATTACATGCAGAGTTCTGTTCTGTTTTTTGTTTCTTGTTCTTTTTTGTTGTTGTTGTTTCTGCTGCAGATTGACTGGAAATAGGTTAAATTCCACTGGGCTTAACACAAATATACAGTTGTTAACATACACTAGTATTGCATACATGGGCTATGTTGTATTGTGCATGCAGTAGGTCTCATTTCTTTTTGTTATCCATCCTGAACTTCTAATTAGTAAGCTTACCAAACATAGAATACTGAAGCATTTACCTTAAAATGGTAAGGTAAATAAAAGGTAGCTAATTAAAATATTGGTAAGAAGTTACATATTGTTAACACTTGAATTGCTTTTATGTACATACATACCTGTATGTTCTCCTGAAGCATTTCCAGAGGTTGCCACTTAGTACTTCCTACCCAAAGAATCCCCAAAGAAAACATTTTAACACTTTTAACACTGAAATTAGCCTTTTTATTACTTTCTCATTGAAACAGAGTTAAGTTTTTTTGCTGCTACCCTTGTTACGTACAGAAAAGTAAAATTTAAGTTGGTAATTCACTGTACATCTGACAAATGTGGGCTCTTAGCTTAAACTCTGGTGGGGGAGGAATTCATGTAATTCACTTGTTTGTATTAGGAAGAACTGATGTGGTATTAAGTGTCAGAGATATATGATTTACTTTCTTTTGAGAATCCATGTTTTTTTATGAATGGCAACTTTATTTTAAGTACTTTCTCTGAATTTTCAGAGTATTTTTCAGGTCACCTCTGTGAACATAAACAGTGACACCAATGCTGTATCCATTGAAGCAATACAAAGATAGCTAGTAAGCATGGTGTGCCAGGGAAGCTTTTGTGAATGGAGATATCTTTTCAAAATAATAATTCCGATTGGACTTGTATTAAGTGTTGGAAAGTTTTATCTTATTTTGTTCAATGTTCTTTTTTGGATTATGTTTTGTTTTCTTTTTTGTTGTTTTCTTTTTCATTTTTATTCAACTTTGGTCCAACTTGCTGTAATAGTAACATGCTTTGTTTCACTAGACATACCAAGGACCACACAGCACTGAAGAAGTGTGTCAGTACCATTCTGGCGTGCCTATATTTCATGAAGGGTTAGTACTCAGTTTAATTTTTTAATTAGCCTTTAATCTGCAATTGCTCTTGTCATAGATGTTGTCTTGTACTCACTTTGTTTCTTGCAATCAAAAATAGTAATGACTGAAAAACATCTACTAAATTAATGGTAATTCTACTTAAAGGAACTATAGTATCCACAATAGTGTCCTAAAGATTCCTTTTTTCATTACTTTCTTTGCAAATTTTTAAGGATGAAATACTGGAGCTGCTGTAAAAGGAAAACATCTGACTTCAATACGTTTTTAGCCCAAGAGGGCTGCACAACAGGAACACATGTATGGACTAAAAAGGATGCGGTGAGTACCATTAACGTTGCCTTATGCAGCTGGTTGTTCTAAACTTTCAGTAATGAAACATAGTTCATAGGTTGTTTGAGCTTTTACTATTGTTGAACTGCTTTGTATCACTACCTATGAAATAATGTGTAGGATATTGTGCACAGCATGGTAGGACAGAAAAGGAGTTTGAAGTGATCTGTGATAGTACTCTATCACAAGTATGCTTCTGCCTTTCTTTGCCTTAATGCATGTGTAAATGTAAAAGTGTTCTTGGCAAATTCAGCTTTCACAGAAAGGCTTACTGTTGGATGCACCATAACACAAATTTCTTACTAATATATTCTTAATTGCTGAGGTAAATTCAGTTTGATGCAGCAAATGTGTCACTTAACAAAAGAAAAGCAAAGATTTATTACAGAAGATGTGATTCTGTTACCTCGTTTTATGACAGCTTTCCAAGTGCATGAGAAAGTAAAGCACAAAATTGCTGTTTGCTTTTAAGATTCGCTTGTATTTAAGCAGTAGTTTAAGATACATAAATAACCAACAGAAAATTTGAAGTGATAAACCTAAAGCAAGAAAGTAGCCTTGTAAAGTAGTTAGTCAAATTTTAAGAAATTCATTAAATGTTTTTGTATTCAGATAATGAACTTCTAGTTGCCTGTTCTTTGCAGATTTTTTTTTGTTTTTAAATTGATCTTTTTACTCATTTGGACCTTGTATTTTTTTCTTTTTTTTTTTTTTTTTACTATTTCATTTTTTCATGCATTAGGGAACAGGGAGGAATTAATTTTTTGCAGCGATATGAAAATTTCTTGGAGTTCTGGCTTTTTCTTTATGTTCCATACTGCTACATGCTGGATAACTCCAGCCTTGAAAAGGAGGTTGATTCAACAGAAAATATTTTTATTACATTTCATCACAGTGCCCCTCTTTTATTCCTGTATTTTCTATCATGAACATACATTTATTATAGTTATATACGCACATATGTGTGTATAGTATTTATAAAAGTGTTTTGCACTTACTTCTGAGAATGTAGTCATATCCTAGCTATATTTATCGGCTGTTGAAATAGCCCCACGATTTTATCGTAATATTGTAAAAAATATTTCTGAATTCATCTTTTTCCATAACCTTTTCTTTATATAGGGAAAGAAAGTAGTTCCATGCAGGCATGATTGGCATCAGACTGGAGGAGAAGTGACTGTTTCTATATATGCTAAGAACTCTGTTCCTGATCTGAGCTATGTAGAAGCAAATAGCACAATGGTGAGTATCTGCCTTAAGATGTCATTCTTGACCCTTGTGTTTACTTACATGTAATTTGTTTTTTTTTTCCTTCCTGTTGAGGCATCTGTACTTTGATAAGGTTGCAAAAAATCTTTAATTAGACTGCTGCAATTAAATCCTGAGTGTAATGGACTTCCATTGGCATATGTGTAAATAATTACGGATTCGTAATTTCGTTGCGTTTGACTTAAGATAACTGAGTATTGTTCTTGATGGCATGCAGTTTCACAGGCAGTAATATTTAGGGAGTGCTAAAAATGGCGTTTCTGTGATTTCTTACTCTTTTGGACAAAATGCAACAATTTCTACTATATACACACTATGGTATTGTATCACAGTCTGGTAGAATGTATTTCCACTTCCGTGTGTGAGTGGCAGTTTGATTGCTTTTCATGTGGGATCTGAGTCCTAATGTAATACATTTTACTTAAGCATACTTAAACATAGTTGAGGTCCTTCATATTCTTATTCTGACTAAATTTTCTATGTTTTTCCTCTTAAGTTAAATATCCATATTGTATTTGAAGGAGAAAAGGAATTTCATCGCAATGTGAAATTATGGGGAGTAAGTATAAGAATCATTTTTCTGTTTTTAAAAAAAAAAAAAAAAGCACAACAAAACACACAAACCTTCAATTACTTCTCTTTAAAAGCTGTTTATTTTTCCTGCTTTCTTTGCTTATTGAAAGAAATTCAATTGCATATCATTCAATAATTAAATTAAAATCTAAAGCTAATGCCCTGAGTGACTATTTGACTCTTCTTAGAGCAGGAGGTTAGATGAGGTGACTTCTTGAAACCCCTTCTAAGTCAATGTATCCTAAGATCTTATCCTAGATATGATAGTTGTGTTACAAAAAACTCTTGACATATGTTGTATGCATACTGTGTGCATTAGTCACATGTATTATATGACCAGACACACATTTGTGGCTTGAGAATGGGCGATAGCTGTTTTTGTCCAGATAAGAGGGAATTTCATCTAAATATTTGCTGATCTCATGATAAGATATTCTTCCTAACTTGATTCCAAACCTCTGAATGTTTGTTTCTTGAGGCAAGTGTGAAATATGTTTTCTGTTTCAGGTAATTGATGTAAAGAGGAGTTACGTGAACATGACAGCTACAAAGATTGAGGTTACTATGCGAAAAGCAGAGCCTCTATTATGGGCAAGTCTTGAATTACCAGTAGCCAACACCCAACAAACAAATGAGAATTCCGATCAATAATAATTCCAAGAGATGAGATTTCCTATTGTGAAGTGGTGACTTGCTACTGTAATCAAGTATTTAATTTTTATATAGTTTTTTTAATGTTTGATCCTGTTCCATTCTACGACAAAGTCTAATGTACAGCAAATGAAAGTGTCAACTTCAAGAGTAATAGCTATTTCTTCTGCTCTTGCTCCCATGAGAATATTTATTTTAGTTGGAGTGTATCCATGAGGATTTAAAATAAAAGAGCTATTGCCTTCTGCTTACAACCTTACCTACTATGCACTGACCATGCAAGCAGATGTGCTGTCAGTCTGCAGTGTGTGTTAATTTTCCAAATGCTGTGTTTAAACTGGGACTCTTTGGTAGTACATGTTAGAATCAGAACTCTTCGTTATGAAGCACACGGTTTTAAAGGGAAAAAAAGCCTGACTTTTTGAAGTGATGAATTCCATGCAATTCCACATAATATATTAAAAATACATGTGAAAGTAAATGTTAAAAAACACTTGTAGACTTCTATTTTTGTCTGCTGGAACTAATGTTTGTTTCAATATCTGTTGGCTGTAAGGGGATGGAATAAAAGGTATTTTGATAAGAGCTTCATTACTTCCTGACTCTTGCTGTCTTTCAAGCATAAATGCAGGAGATCAAATTAAAATAAAAACAAAGGTGACGAGAGGATATTTCTTCTTCTTGTACCTTTGCTCTTTGATTTGTTAAATGCAAAAGGCAAGGGGTGGTAAAATGAATAACAGTACCTCAAATTTGTAAAACTGCCAAACTACTGTATATATTTCACAGCATATTTAGAATGTATGCTCTGTTCTATCCCACAATGTTCAACATCTTGAATATTTTCAGTGTGGATGTCTCTAATCGGAGAGGGCAGTACACAGTAGTTGTCTCAGGAAAATTATTTTGTTACAGATATGCCTTCTCTTGTTCCTGAGTGATCTGAGAACTAAATTTACATAGCAAGCCTTAGGAGAAACAAACAACAAGTGTTAAAATGTCTGTCTCAAATCATAAGTGTACCACTGAAATAAAATATTTTAGAAGTACCTTTTCTTTTGAAGAAGCAAAAGCAAAGCTATAATTAGAAATCTAGACCTTACATTTGTTTCCAGTTCTGCAGCATTTAGGATTTGTGTCTGAAAGCACAATAGTTTTACAGATGAGGCTTTTTCCTAAGCATGCACTAATCTTGCTTTCTTTTCTGCTTGCAAAAGCAATTCTGGGTTGCAGCTGAAAGGGGGGGAACTCGTTTTTATGTATAAGTTAAGCAAAATATATAACATTGTGCTAAAACTTAAGCAGCTCTGTTGACCACAAAATATGCTGATACTCATCCCCTATCTACCCTTGGTTGACCTGATGTCCAAGAGAAATGAGGAATGCAGCAAAAGCATTCTGAAATGAAGTAGGGATTTCTAAGACTTCTGTTTTCCAGCAGGTATAATTTGAGGTGAGTCCACAGTTCTGCCTCTAGCAGTATTTATCCCTGAAGTAGTGGCAAACACTTTACCAAATAAACTGCCCTTCACAGTGGTGGTGTGTTTTGATGCTTCTTCACCCATTTCCTCATCGACTGGGAGGCCCAAATTAAAAGTTCCAGCTCAAAATTTTACATGACAGATTCAACCGAATTCTAATAATGCCTTTTTCAAAATTATTTTTGTTTAAGGGTCAGATGCTGTAAAATGGTAGGGTACAAGCTTATGGAAGCATAGGCCTGCAAGTGGTCCTCTGAAAATTGTTCCAGCATTCCCTCATGTGTTCTGAGCCAACAGCTGAGCTCTTATTAGTCCAGAGCTAAGAAAAATTGCGTAAGTGGACGAAGAATTCTAAACAGCTGTAGCTATCAGCATGCCATCTATGTTCTTGCATGCAGAAGTCTGAACTTGGGCAATATTTAAACATCAGGATAAAATTCTAATTTAGTAAGATGTCTGTCTATGCATGTGGAAATATAAATACTGTAAATGTATTGTCTTTTCTGCATTTTATTTTACAGATTTTCAATATAATTGCAGCATCATATGCTGTGAGTTACATTGTAAAAATCCTTCTTAAAGGACTACAAGGGAAACTGAATTTCATCACGAAAAAAATACCTTTTTAAGCAATTCACATGGACTGAGTGCATTTAACCCTTAATTCATGAAAATCTGAATGAATGGACTTTCTGCTGTTAATGCTGCAGCTTTGAGACCCTGTAATTATTTGCCTCTTTGAAATTAGATTCTGCTGGGAGCTGGATCAGCTTGGTAGTGAATGGATGAAAGCTCCTACAGGCATGGTCTGCTGTACAGTACAGTTGTGCTGTAGTATTTTCATTGATTCTTTCCACTCTTTCCCTGTTGTTCATTCTCATCCGGGAACTCTGCGAATGCTTCAGGAGTTGCATAATGATTTTTTTCACATCAGTGATGATGTAAATGCTTTTAAATAACACCTGTTTAAAAAAGCAAGCAAACAAAAACTCCCAGCTTAGATGAGGTAAGGAGGTCTAGGTTTTACAAATAACAGCCCAATTCTTCATGGCTGATGGCATTAGAAATAGAAGGACAGTATGGATTGTGCTAAGTTTTGTTTAACTGCATTGTTCGTAGCTTTTTAAATTCATTTGTTGTTTAACCATCACTGAAGTACAAAACTTGCTGAGTTTACTTGCTGAACCTCAGTGCTTTGAGCAGATTATTGTGGTTGCACAGAGCAGTCTTTAGCACACTGTGTGACATCTTTACTTGGCTACTGAGAGTTGACACTTCAGTGGTATGTGGTTTGACTGTGACTTTTATTAGTAAATGAAGTGGAAAAAAAGTGTGGTATACCAAACGAATCATAATATCTCTCCAAAGCAAGATTTGAAAGCTAAGCTAAGCATTTTTTGCTTACATAGGCTTTACCCTGTTTAATAATGGTGAAATTCAGTAGTGCAAACAAATATATACTGGGTTATTTGCAGTTTAATTTACCCTCTTTTTCCATGTTCTTGGACGTTGTGCTGTATTTAACAAGTTGGTCAATGGTTTAGCTATGATTTTATAATTTGTAAGACTTCAAACCCATACTGTAGCACACTGTACCTTATATAACACAGTGTTACATGTCTCAGAACTGTCCAGGTGCATGTGAAGCTTTTTCTTCATAATGTGTTTTTAATAAGAAAAGCAGTGTGTGTATGTACCAATTTGTTTTAATCTTTCCCTTCATGTTTAGGCCCATTTTCCTAACTACTGTTACACTGCATATCTAGAACAGAACATTCCTTGGATGTATTTTACTTTTAATGCTAGAACTGTTAAGCACTGGGCTGTTCAGCTGCTCTGACATCTTACATGGCACTGATGTAACTTCACAAAAATCCTTCCATCTGATGATCTTCTGGAGCACTTACACTATCAAGTCACCATTTCAGTAATTTAGGGGCTAGTTCCATTTTGAATAGAATTTTGCCTTGAAAAAAACAGCTACTTATTCTATGTAACAATGCATTTTTTGCTTGCATTCTTTAAAAATGGCATGATTATTGGTTAAATACTGTACCCCTTAATCGATGGTGTTTTCCAATTGCTACTGTTTTTCGTTTGTTTGTTTGTTTTTGTCTCTGTTCAGGAAAGAGAGAGATCATATTTAAAGTAATGAGTTACGTGTCTGGAACACTGTTTGAAATGATAATTTTGTCATTATAAATAAGAGTCTTGAATTACAGTTGGGGGAGGGTGGAAAACGTCCTTTTGCATGGTTATTTGATTCTGCACATTCATAAAACTTTCATGCAGAAAATAATCTTTGTTTCCTTTTTTTTTTTTTTTCCAATAAAATTCTTAATACATGCTGGTTAAAATTGGGTTTTTTGACTTACTTTGTTGTAGGAGAGAACTTCTCTTTGGGTTTGTAATGCAGTTATTAACACGCTGTGGGCATTATCCACAGGTTGGTGTCTGTGAGGGGGGCAGTGGCCAAGTGGGCACAAACATCCAGTGATGTTTGTAAAATCAACATTTTCAGTTGAACTGACCATTTGATTTTCTTAGTAGCAGGCATAAAGACGCTGCTGTCTATGAGTGCCATCAGGTGTGCATTTGTAGTCAGTCTTTTGAGCCCAAGAGGAAAGGGGTTGTAAAAACAGATACTTGTAGTGTAGAGATGTGAAATGCTTGAATGTGTTTTTAATTCAGCTTAACTCATCATATAGTTGAGCAGTTACAGAATCACAGAATGGCTTGGGTTGGAAGGGACTCCAGGGATCATTAAATTCCAACTCCCTTCCACAGGCATATCTAGTATCTACCTCCATATCTAATACTAGACCAGGCTGCCCAGGGCCCCATCCAACCTGGTCTTGAGCACCACCACATATAGAGCATCCACAACCTCTGGGCAGCCTGTTCCAGCACCTCACCAGTCTCCCTGTGAAGAACTTCCCCTGATGTCCAATCTAAACTTTCTCTCCTTGAGGTTGAATGGTGAGTTTAGTATCATCCACTGTATGATGACCAATTCTGGCTGTTCAGAATGTGTGATTTGGGTTTTTTGTTGTTTTTTGGGTGGTTTTGTTGTTGGTTTTTTGGGGTTTTTTTGCATCTAGTGCTCCTGTGTGAGAGGAAGCATCTTCTTGTATAAGTATTTGAAAAAATCACTCTTGGATAAATATTAATAAAAGCTGCATTGCAACCAAAAATCATTGAAAGTTAGCTGGAGGCAGAGCTGCACCTTCAGCCATCTGAAATATTTGTAATCCAAAAGCCTTGTTCTCTGAAATGTTTATTTTGACATAAATATTGATACTGCAATACTATAACAGAATTCATTGCTTAAGGTAAAACTGACTGTACTTCAAACTTAATATGCTTCACCTCATTTGTTCCTCCTTTATTGAAAATGAGATCTGTGTGTTGGAGGCACTTGCTACTCTGCACTTCCAGACCCTGAGGGACTTTTTAATTTTTGTAATCAGGTAGTGCTGTATACACAAACATGAGCCCAAGCTTCAGAACTTCTACCCTCTACCTGTTCTGTTCAGAATTATTCTTTGATATTAGCTCTGAAAATCAGAAGCCTGTCAGCACTTCTGTGACAGAATTTTTACTTCAATGAATTTATAAATTAAATGGAATGCTTATGCTTGCCAAGAGCCGTGGTTTAACAACTGAAAGAAGATAAAGGTGGAAAAAGTGAGTGGAGCGTATTTTACTTCTATTCCTCTCTAGTGCTTATTTCCTTAAACCACCCTGTTAAAATCATTGCACCATTATGTTGATCCACTGCCTGAAAACTGCGGTGTGGTTGGGGTTTGCTCAACGAAAGCTGGCGTGCACTTTGGTGTTGCTGAGTGGCAGCACCAAGGCGTTGAATATATAGTTCTAAAGCTAAAATGTGCCTTTTGCATGAGTTCTTCCGTTTCACAGTTGTGTTATTAACTAAAATGCATGTTTGAATTGTGGCAGTGTTGTGCACCCTCGTTTTTATGAGGGGAGATTTAGACTGTATGTAAGGAATAAGTTTGTTACAGTAAGGGCAGTCAGGCACTGGTGCATATTGCCCAGAGAGGTGGTGGGTGCTCTGTCTTTGGTGATATCCAAGGTCAAG